TTTTCGAAAATGATTTTGAAAATTTTATACTGGTTTTTGGAAAATTCAAAATTTCTATAAAATCAAAGTGGGGTGTTACAGATCTGTTAGAAGGTATAGGGTTTGGGCTCCCTACAGGCCCAAATTCTTATGTTCAGCCCAGAACACAATTTGGCCCGTAAATATTAATTCATTCCACTAGAGAATTAATATTGCACTCCCGTCCTATCTTGAAATGAATCAGGGCTTCTATTAGACTCGATATAATTCCCCGTGTTTAAGATATCGCACGTCCATTAATTATTAAAGCTTCTGACTATTTAATTAATCAATATATTTTATTCCTTAAGTAGTACCACTCAACCTTATTATCGTACGAATTAAATCCACCTGCAGGGTTTATACTATAATCCTAATGAGTTCCTTAAGGGGACGTCATCAACCTGGATGTCTCGGACACTGTGCCCTAATGCCAATAAATAGATATCATGCCGATAATGTTGTTACCCAAGATACAGAGCATATTGAACCAAAACTTGGCTCTCACCCATGGTAAATCAAAGTAACAAACAAATATCCCACATATCTAAGTATCACAATTAGGGTTAAGAATTAGTAGAGTCACCGAGACCTAGGTTCTTCATGATAGTCAGAAGAGAAGAACACGTCTCAACTGTGATCCATTCAATGCGACGCAGCGCACTAGTATAAACCAATAGCCAAGACAAGCTATATCCAGTTTATACTACAACCTAAACCGATAGTCATGTCCATAACTATCTCAGTTGTGAATACCATTTATATCTTATAAGAGACCGACGATGTAATCTTCTGTGTGACTACTAACACACCACATTGTCTACAATATACGATTGTAGCGCCCCGTTTGAATATTAGATTTTTCGAATATTATTTGTTGGCATTATTATGTGAATTATTGCATGTCATTTTATTTAATTGCGTATATTCTGGTATTGCTCGACATATCGCGTTTGGATTTATTATTATTTAATTAGATGTTCGTGTCTAATTATTATAATAAGTCGTATAATGCAATTCTATTTATTTTTCGTCAATCGAATTGTTCGATATTCCGCGGATATAATTCCCGGCTCGATTGGAATTTATTTACGGCCCAAAGCGATTTAATTCTAGCTTTTATAAGTAATACTTAGGCCTTTTGCCATTCTCTCTTCTAGCCAAATGTAATTAAATTCTGGCCCAACTCTCTATTGATTTTGGCCCAAGTTGAGTTAATTTCCTTGGCCCAATTAGAGAAGCCAGTCGCAGCTTTTTAAATCCTTTCAGATTACCCGCACAGAGCGAGTCTTTCTCTTCTGTTTCTCGTCGCGATTTTTAGGGAGAGTTGATCTCGCACGTTCATCCCCTCCCCAAGCCTGCATAAGAACCGGTCAAGTCCTTCTCTTCACTTGAATACCACAGCAACTCAATCGCTCCATCCATCTTCTCCGTTCAAATTGTAGCCCTGCTTTTGATTTTTATATATATAAAAAAAAAGCCTGCAAATTCTTTTCCACCGGCGAGAGCTCCTTTTCGCCACCGTTCTCCACCGCAAGCTAGCCCACCATCACCGTAGTGATCCCGCTACTACATCACGTCCATCTCCGGAGTCCCCCACAGCAGCCGTCCATCGCCGGAGTTCACTGCAGCGGCAACCACCATTATTTCCAGCGAGCTCGTCCAAAGCAGACAGCCGACGTCCTCCTGAGCCTGCGACTGACATCCCTTTCGAGTTTTACACGCAGCACCAAGTTAGAGGAGTCTGAGTCCCAAAGCCGTTCGTCCGACCTGCTGTCGGGCCCGTGTCCCATTCGATAACTCGTAGTTTCCCGAAGTCGGGTAACTTATTCAAATCCTCTCGTTATTACGATCATTTTCATATATCACATGTTATAAATATATTGTGCTCGACCTACCGGAACCTTGTTTGAAATCGTATATTTATCGATTCATATGTTCGTTATTGTTTCGTATGTTCGTGAATTTACGTAGATTATCGGAACTCTCGTATATCATGTTAAATGAGTCTCATTGCTGTTGTGAGTAATTCGTTTAGGTTCGGAGTCTCGTTTTTGTTTTTCAAGCCATATTATTGTCGGTTCCATTTTCGTTTCAAAAACCCGATTTTATTATATATTCAAATCAGAAAACGTGTTTTTTTTGCTAAATTTATATATTACTTGAACCGGATCAATGTTGGATAGGTCGTGGTCGAGTTCCGTGAAATTTCGTTTAGTCTGTTCGCATTTTTGCAATTTCTGTAAAAAAATTTCACACCTCTGTTCGGTTGCTCACGCCTCTGTTCAGTCTGTTTTAGTCACAGACATTTGTTCTAATTCTGTAGTTGATGATTATATTTAAACTAGCAACTAAGCGTGTGGTACGGTGGTGGCGAAACTCAACTTCCGCGAAGGAGGTTATGTGTTCGACCCTTGAGGCTGCGGTTTTTTTTGTTTTTATTATTTGTTTCCAGCCTTGTAGCTCCTTAGGCGCGCGGGCTTCAGGCCTAGAATCCGGCACGCTCATACTCTCAGCTTCAGGCCCGCGCCCCGGCCCAGTGGGGGCCCGCGTGCTTTCAGATTAAAAGGATGTTGGGCCAGCCCTTTGAGCGGCCCAATTAAACATGTTAGTCCCAAATGTATTGGCATTTTTGGCCCTTTTATCATATTAGCCCAATTCGCCTTTTTAAGCCAATATTTGTGTTTTAAAGTCCGTTTTTGTACCGTTTTAATTCTAAAAAATATTTTCAAAATGGTATAAATTAGGGAAAAATTATTTTGTGTTCCGAGACTCTATTTTTGTTCCCCGAGTGTTTTTTTTTTTAAAATTTTGAGAGTTCCAAGTCCACGTAAAATCCGATTAAAACCCTTAAGTCTTAATTTTTATTAAGTATGGGTTTTATATTAAATTTGAGAAGTGAGATAGATTATTGATAAATTATCTCGCTTAAATGTAGGTATTTGAGGAGTCGAGCCCTAGTCATACGTACCTGCTTTGTGTGTGATTTTCTACCTCGATTTTCAGGTGGGTTTTGAAAAATTGGCTATGCTGTAAATGTTATTACTATTATTATTGTTTACTTGTGATAGGATCAAAGTATGCATGTGAAACATGTAGCCTTCGATGTGAGCTGTATCGACCGTCGAATGGTTATCCCCGTGACTATAGAACGACCCCGATGGGGTGATCTCCTCTTTACGTCCTTGCGAAGGACACGTCGCTTGAGACCAGTGTTAGAGGTATGCTGTAAAAGCTGTGTTTTGCAGTTTCTATCAATTCCATTTTGATCTGGCAATCATGTTTCGGTCAAAGTACATATGTTTGCAGTTTATTTA